TCCCCCCACCCCTCCTCCACATCCATTCCCCTCATGTATAAACAAACTCTTTCTCTCAGAGACGCTTTCCTTACGGTAAAAACAACACTTTTCTGCTTGACTCACAGTGTTGTGCTCTTTGTGGCAACGAATCAAAAGTGAAAAGTGAGCTGAGTTTGTTCCACTGACCTCACACTACTATCCTGTTCTATCTACTTCCTTCTTTTCTCACTGCCTAATATTACCTTGGCTCCATGCATGTGCCTTACACCTCTCTCTCTCTCTCTCTCTCTCTCTCTCCTTAAACCCCAGTCTGCTTGTCTTTTATTTCCACTGACTTGTTTTTGGAGGTTTGATCTGTTTCTCACCTGCCGTTGCTCAGAGCCCGTTACCCTCCTCTCCCTCCTCCTGCACTTCCAACCATTCCTTTGACTTTTTAATAGTAGTGACAAGGAGGTTTTCCAGTGAACTCTCAAAGCAGACTTGTGTCACTTTAACCATTACGAGTTGACGTTCGCTGTCAGCTCAGAATGTAAAGGTCACCGCACGGGGCANACACACACACACACACACACACACACACACACACACACACACACACACACACACACACACGGACACAAAAACACCCTGAACAAATTTAATAACATCTACAACTTCCCTTTGCTCCACTCTGTTTTCTTTAAACATGTTTCTATTGCCATTTTCAGAAATAAGACTTGTCCGGTCCGTTTATCCTTGGGATGAACAGGGCAAAGAAAAAAAGAGATAAACTAATAGTGGAAAAAATAAAACAAAACAAGATGAAGAGTGTATACGTATATGCTAGCAGCTCTGCTACTTAGCATTTAGCTTGAAGCACAACTGTGGCATCATCCTGGTGTGAAGCAGACAGAGCTGGTGTTTAACGGAGGAAAAAATTAAAATGAAAGAACCTCTGTGGATCTGTCAGAAAAGTCAGACTAAAAATAACATTACCTTTCCTTCTCTCCAGCCCGTAGTAATTTTAATACACTCCCTCACAAAGTGTTGATATAACAAAGACACCTGTTCTCCTGCATGAAAGAATTTCTCTGATGGACAAAAGAGGAAGTTACGATGCTTTGACATAATAAAGTTTCACAGCTGAAGGCATTATTAAAAAATGACTTGTTGGAATTTCCTCAAAAGGCATAAATCTACGGCAGTATGATCATAAAATCCTGACACCTCGGCCTTGAGCGAACCAGAGCTTAAACACCTGATCAAATCTGAGAATTTGCAAGAGCTAACAAGCGACATACTCATATTTATGTGTGCATCTGTTGGCGTTATCATACAAAGAGTGGGAATTGTGGCAGCAGGTGTGGCAGAAGCGCTCCTGAACAAACCACTCCACACTGTCCCTCCCCAAGCCCCGCAGCCCCCACCTCCCCCCACCCTCCTCCACATCCATTCCCCATGTATAAACAAACTCTTTCTCTCAGAGACGCTTTCCTTACGGTAAAAACAACACTTTTCTGCTTGACTCACAGTGTTTGCTCTTTGTGGCAACGAATCAAAAGTGAAAAGTGAGCTGAGTTTGTTTCCACTGACCTCACACTTACTATCCTGTTCTATCTACTTCCTTCTTTTCTCACTGCCTAGATATTGTGCTTGTGCTCCAATGCATGTGCCTTAACGTCTCTCTCTCTCTCTCTCTCTCTCTCTCCTTAAACCCCAGTCTGCTTGTCTTTTATTTCCACTGACTTGTTTTTGGAGGTTTGATCTGTTTCTCACCTGCCGTTGCTCAGAGCCCGTTACCCTCCTCTCCCTCCTCCTGCACTTCCAACCATTCCTTTGACTTTTTAATAGTAGTGACAAGGAGGTTTTCCAGTGAACTCTCAAAGCAGACTTGTGTCACTTTAACCATTACGAGTTGACGTTCGCTGTCAGCTCAGAATGTAAAGGTCACCGCACGGGGCAAGTTCCCAGTGGCAGAGTCTAGTATCCCCGAAAGAGCTAATGAATGCCTCTGCTTTGGTGTGTTGGAAATTGTGCATGTTTGTTTATTATGTCTGGGGTGGAAGCCACTGAGACCAAAGTGGAAAAGACACATTCTTTGATGAGTCAATGGAACTTAAGTATGAAAACAACAAAAACATATTGCTCCCTCCCTCCCTCCCTCACACACACACACAGACACACACACACACACACACACATACACACACACACACACACAAGCTTCAGCAAATCCAGTGTTTTTTTTTTTCTCCCTCCACTTTCTCTCACTGTGTTGGGCTTGTTTACACGGGCCTGTTACATCACCTCCGTGCACTGACAGAGAGAGATGGATTGTGTGGGAAGAGGATGGAGGTTTGGTAAATACATAACTTTGCTCTCTGTGTAGGCCTCTGTGTGTGTGTGTGTGTGTGTGTGTGTGTGTGAGGACATACCGTACATGTGTATGCTGGTGTGTACGGTCTCCTCTATGTCTGTGTTAAGTGCTTGTGGAGTGAGCTTGTGATATGCTAATGTGAGTATGCTTACAATGGGGGTGTATGCAGCGATTTATGTTACTTCATACTTCTGCACCAAACCACAATTCAGGGTGAAATATTACTCTTTTTTTTTACTTTTTGTGACAGCTACAGTTAATAGTTTTAAAAATTAAGACAAATTAAGACCTCAAGTAAGTTTATAGCATTCAATAACACATTCTCAATGCATTACACACAGGGATTTTGCTGCTACAGCTTTATTTGGACTGGTATGACCAACATCTAATGTCAGCAAACTTCAGAGAGACATTTTTGTAATAATGCCATCAGTATGTCAGTTTGCTAACCTCATGACTCTTCTCTACTTGTGCTTCTGTTATACTACATTTTAGCTTTCACCATTTTACTACCATTGGCACTGGTGTTAGTAAAAGTTACAGAATTCTGCTTTAAATACATTTCGCCAGTAAAAACTTTGGTACTTTAACTTGAGAGTGATCTTGAAGGAAGGAGTTTTACTTCATAATTGAGTATTTGATGTACTTTTACTTTACTTTTTGTTAGTATGTTATACTGTTTTATTACATTAAATACTATATTACATTTCTATTAACAGAAAAATACAGGTATCATTACCTTATCATAGTAAATACTATTCTGGTGTATACTTTTATAGTAGATGGTATCATATTACTCTTACATACAGTAAACTCTACTTTGTTGACTGCGCTGCTACTCAACACACCAATATGTCACTTCATTTGACGTATGTTTGTATATATTTACAAGTATTTATTTTTTTACTTTACGCTGAATTTCTCCTCTGGGGATCAGTAAAGACTTATTTTCATCTTTACTCCAGTAAAGGATGTCAGTAAGTCTTCCACGACTGTGTACAAGTCTACTGAACGCACCACTCAAAATGCAAGCATTTGGTTAAGTGCAGGCGGTGATCTATAGAGGATGACGGGGGATGCAATCTTCCCTGTTGGCACATATGACTGCAGCCATCCCTCTGCTTAATGATACATGTTTGGGAAACTGTAAGGGAAAATAACAATTTAGTCACCCACAATCCATCTCACTCAATTTCAGCAAGCAGCCCACTGTGTGTGCCTGTGCAGTTTAATGTAACGTTTGAGGGTGCGTATGTGGAATATGTATTTAACCGTCTCACATACAGTACGAGTGTGTATCAGTGTGTGTGTATGTGTGTGTGTGTGTGTGTAAGCCACCAGCTCAGGTACTGAGATGGCCGGTTTCCTGTGTGCATGTCTGTGGGGATGACAAGAAGATTATCCAGGTGGTTCTCACCTCCGCTCTGCTCTCTTCAATGAAAACCTTCAACCAAAAAATAAATTCTTGTCTGTTTACATGTCGTTTGTGTGTGTGTGTGTGTGTGTGTGTGTGTGTGTGTGTGTGTGTGTGTGTGTAGAAAGTGGTGGTCTGGGAACCTCTAAGTAGGTAAAAGGGATGTGGGGGCTAAAGACAGGATATGCAAGGAGGAAAAGAGCGTGATGAATTGCACAGGAGATTATCATAATCATTTTCAACACCACTATCACTCAATCATGTAGTTACAGCCAACTCTGCTCTCCTTGTATATGTACTTTATCTGTCCAGCTCTTGTTTAAAAGTATTTTTACAAAGTGGGGGAAGGAAATTCCTAGCTGTTTTCCATGGCTGCCCAAAGTATTAATGTAGCACAGACTAGCAGCTGAGTATATTTATTTTATTTTTCACAAAGCAGCAGCCGGACAGAGGCATGCGTGTGAAAAGAACTTTAAAGCATCAAAAATATTATTTTCGCTCAAACATAAATAAATAAACACCCAAAAGCCAGGTCCTCTTTGGAATGTAGTAATTCTGAATTTTTATGAATGACTGCATTCATGCTTGACCACGCCCCTCCACCCCCCCACCCCCAACCCCCCCCAAACCTCAGCCATCCGTGTTGGAGCTCCAAGCCCCGCCCCCCTCCGTCGCCGTTGAGACACCTTGGCCGCCCGCCTGCGTCCTAATTGGTTAAAGGAGGTCTGGAGTGGGCGTGGCTGGCACAGAAAGCACGAGGCTGATATAAAAACATGGCTCAAACTTTGATCGATGGGAATTTACAACTGATGGAGGACATTTGAGGATCGTCGTGCAAGTCGGATTTAACCTTTGTGGACAAAACCTATTGTTTGTGGATTTATTTTTCTGTCATATAAACTGCTGTTGTTTTGTTTTGTTTTTGTTTTTGTTTTTTAAACATGGGGACACTGCTGTTATTTGCTGTCTTGCAAGTGGTGACAGTCGGTCTGGTAAGTGTATGGAGTTTTCTCTGTGACACTGTTTAGCTGCACGTAAACACTGAAGAATAAAGACTCACGTGCCTGTACTGTAACTGCAGCTCCAGCGGATTTGAGCTGCTGTCGTCTGGTAATATTTCCATACAACCTAATCTTAGTGAGTAATGCCTGTCAAAAAATAATGTTCAAAGTCATTAAACCCAACTCGCTATTCAGGTCCTCACCAGTCATTTATAATACAGCAGCTATTCACCTTCTCCCTCCATGTGCAGAAGCGACCGGATCCCAAAGCCTACCATAGGTTTGAGGACTAATATCAGGATAATTAAAGATGAATTCCAGTAGATTTCCAGTGGTGGAGGAAGCAGTCAGTCCTTAAGTAAACGTAGTAATACTGCAATATGAAAATACTCTGTTACAAGTTCTCCACCGAAAATATTATTGGCTAAATTTACTTAAAAGAATTAAAAAGTAAAATCATTCATAATGCAGAGAAATTGCCACTGTAGGTGTTACTCTGTTATAGTGTCATATATTAGTATATTCTTATTACTGATGCATAAATGTGTAAGTAGCAACTTACTGTTGTAGTTTCCACCATTTTACACACTGTTGGGTAGTTTAATCTATAACAATGCATCATGTTTTAGAAACTCATCATTTGTTTTGCAATGTAGTTGATTTAAAAAAATAAATAAAAATACAAAAGTGGAGTATACAAATAAAGTGGCATGAAATGATACAAGATCCTCAGATTTGTACTTCAGTTCAGTACTGGAGTAAATTTACTCAAGTTACATTTCACCGCTGATTATTTCTACCTCCCCGTCCAAAGTTGAGACACTGATTCAAATCCAAATAATCTGATAAAACAACAAAAACATTGGAGGAAATTTGTGCCTCTCCAGAGTCTTTGTTAGAGTTTATAGGTCTTCTATAAGTACATACTGTCGGTCCAAAATTACATCAAGTCATATTACGCAACATGTTATATCAATGGGGATAAAAATACACTTAATGTCAATATGAACCCACTGCACTCTCTCTGCAAGTGTCTATAGGAATAGTATATCAGTGCCAGGTGATACAAAGTTATTGTGTGATGTCATATCCAACCTTCATACCAACCCGAGACCCCTCAACAGTCAGTGACAGCAGTGGAGGGGGGGAGGGGCTGGGTTTAGAGTGGAGGTTGCAGGAAGGGATCCCTCTGGGTGATCTAAGTACGGGCAGTCAGACTGGCAGCTCCCTGTGATCTCAATACCTGCTGGGAGTTGTTGGAGTGACTCTGTGTGGAGAGAGAGAGAGAGAGAGAGAGAAACAAAAGATGTAGGAGCAGGGAGGTGGGGAGCTTTTGGGTCAGAGAAAGTCCCTTTCATCCCTGCTCGCGCCGCGAATGCCAAGCGGAAGGCGACAGAGGGTTACAGATATCCCTGTGGGGCTCGGGACAGTGCTGGGTATTCAGCTGATGTTTAAGCCACACACACACTTTGAGGAATTTCTGTGATCTCTGAAACATGAGTCAGACTATTGTCCTGCCTGGTTCCAGTGTGACTCCTCCTCGCAGAGAAATTTTACTGTATGACATTTTTTTCAGGTTAATAGCAGTGTACTCAAAGTCATGACTGTGCCGTACGTCCCCTCCTGTAGGTGACTGCGGGCTGCCCGGCGGTTTGCGAGTGTCCGGCGGGGCCCCCGTCCTGTCCCCCGGGGGTCAGCTCAGTCCCTGACGGCTGCGGCTGCTGCAAGGTGTGCGCCGCCCAGCTCAACCAGGATTGCCACGAAGGACGGCCCTGCGACCACCACAAAGGCCTGGAGTGCAACTACGGCAACGATGTGGGCCGAACCCACGGCATCTGCAGGGGTACGTGCAGCAGAGGGCGGCAGGAATCAAAGGCGGGGAGGGTTAATGAGTTTTTGGGTTTAGATCGGGCACAGAGTTTTTGGGGTTTAGCTCGGGGTTGAGCGAGGGAATGTGTAACTTCAGGGTGGGGAATCTGGCTTCCGAGCCAAGCGGCTGGAGTTTCTCTTTGATAGGGGCTCGAGGTTTGAAGCCCGTGCCACGTTTCGAAAACAGAGCACCTTCATGAGCTGCGACTGAAACCTGGCCAAGTCCGGGATTTATATAAGTAGTTCAATGTGTACACAAACAGCCCCATGAAACACACAAACACACACACACACACACACACACACACACACACAGTGGTATTTTTATATGTGTGTTTATTTGGGGGTGTTTCTATATAAAGGGGGGTATCCGGGGTGTTGTATGGGGAGTTCCACTGAGGGAGCGAAGGGGAAGGACATTGTAAACAAGTCAAAATTCCTCTGGTCTAAGAATAGAGCTTGCTGCATAAATCTGGAGATAGTGTGTCTCTCCCTCTCTCTTCTTATCTACCTTCTATCTCAATTAAAGATGCATTTACACATGAGCCTCTTCCTGTTTGTTCTTACTTCCCAGTTTTGGATCAAGAGTATTAGATTTCTGCAGACGGAATATTTTTGTCCTTTAAAGTGTTTTGACCCTGTTGTCTGTCTCCCTCCGTCCCCTCAGCTAAGGCAGAAGGCCGCTCCTGCGAATACAACGGGCGGATTTATCAAAACGGAGAGAATTTCCGCGCCGGTTGCAAGCACCAGTGCACCTGCATCGATGGAGCGGTGGGCTGCGTGCCCCTTTGCCCCAGCCATGTGCCCCTGGCATCGCCTTCCTGTCCTTCCCCACAGCTGGTCAAGGTGCCAGGCCAGTGCTGCCTCAGCATCGACTGCCACAAGGGGACCACCGTCATGCCCCCGGCGCACAGGCGGCCGCAACCTCCAGCTTACCCGCCTTACCCCTTCATTCCCTACCCGGCCTACCCCTACCCCAAGCCTTACCCGAAACCTTTCCGGAAGCTGTATCCCTACAAACCCAAAAAGGAGAAGGACACCATGGGCAACGAGCTGGTGGAGGTGGGGCGCAAATGGGACAAGCCGCGTGGAAACAAGCACCTGGCGGGTAAGAGAGGGTGCCGCCGTGTCGCCTCAGAGCGCCGTCTGTTTCCTCCGCGCAGCAAAGCATCATGTTTACGTTTTAACCATTTTAGCCTCCTGACGCACAAACGGCCTCACTGTGAGCCGCTCCCTCTGCATCTGTGCATGTGTGTGTGTGTGTGTGTGTGTGTGTCAGCATTTATGTGAGGCTTGTTTTCCACTGGCTCCTTGCACACCAGAGGTGCTCTCTCTCTCTCTCTCTCTCTCTCTCTCTCACACTGCTCTCACACAGCACATACCTCTGTCACCCAGCTTTCCCCTCTCTGTAATCACCCTCTCTATGCGTCAGTGTTGCCTGTTCGGTGAATGAGGCTAGTGTGCTTTGCATCTCTCCTTTTCCCTCTCTCTCCCAGCGGCCCTTTCCCCCCTCTCGATTTGCTTTTGCTGATGTTGCTGCTCGTTCTCTGACTCCATATATTTTTTTTTTTTGCATCGCCCCATTGTTGTTCTCCCTCACACGTTCCCCTCTCTCTCGTCTCCTCTAGCCTGGAGGCAGGTGGGAGATCAGTGTGTGGTTCAGACCACTTCCTGGTCTCAGTGTTCTCGGAGCTGTGGGATGGGCGTGTCCTCTCGTGTTACCAATGACAATGCCCGCTGTAAGCTGATCAAGGAGACGCGCCTGTGCAACATTCGGCCCTGCAGCTCCATGTCCATCCCCGTCAAGGTGAGGAATGTGTGGTGGTGCTTTTAAGATTCTTTATAAAGGGAGAAATTACAGTGGTTCCCTCTAATGGCCCACAACTATGCAGCCAAGCCACCATGCTAAATGGATTCAGGAAAGGATGTCTCTCAAGCGGTCAGATTGGTATTAATATCATGGCATGTATACAGCCCCCCCCCACCCCACCCCGCCCCTGAATCCCTCTGTAGCTGGAGCCTTTTCTGGTTCATTCTGTCTATTCACGGTTCTGTTGCCGTGTGGCAGGATGACGACAGAGCTGATTTAGACCAGGTTTCCCCTGTGCAGCTTCACGCGGGTCCCGCTGTAAAGACAGAGATGAGATGAGGAGATTGATTCTACGCTCACGTCCGTCTTGAATATGAAGATACAGCCAGACATTTGACATTTGACGTGTTTATGTGCCGGACCTGTCTTGGCTGGGAGCAGAAACTTCGTGGAGCCTCTGGTTGTTGCCTGGAGCCAAGAAATAGTAGTCAAGCAGTCTGGCTCGTCCCCCCCACCCCCCCGTAAAACGTGAATTCTGGGCTTTTCTCTGAATGTCTGCTCGCCTTAAAAACCCCAAAACACTAAAGCTGCACTTAACTTCATTGTCAACTTGCGTCCAAGTTTTCTTTTTAAATAGCTGAAAATCATTGCAGCTCAGCTTTATAAATAACACGATTTTTAAAAAAAAGTGTTTTCAGAGACAGAGGACAAACTCTGGGGGTTTTGGGTTTGGAGCTCTCCCACACTGAACCTGCGACACTGTGGCTGTCAGCTGCACTCAGTGGCTCCGCGCTGCGTGATTTAAAGAGCACTCAATCCGCCCACTCTGTTGCTCCCTCGCATCTCATGCACAGCACCCTCAGAAACATTCTGCCTCCCCGCCACCAGCCACTCATGAGGCTGATGGGTTGTTATGCACCTGTTTTCGCTGCGCTCTCTCCCTGTGTTTGCAGAGCTGCTGTGGGTGTTAATGTGAATCAGTGTCGATCCTTAACTATCGCTGGCATGCTCCTCTCCCCGGCACTCATCTGTTGTTCTGACCTTTAGTTTGTTTTCCAGTCTCTGCGCTTAACTGCATTAACTTTTGATTTTCATGTCTCAGAGTTGAATAATGAGTTATGTCATGTTGCTGTGCGGTAACGGCAGCTCTGATCCTGAGCTAATGGTGATGTGATCCTAAAAAGCTTTCGGTGGGAAGCCGCGTCCAACCTGCTCCGCATTTCTGTCGTCCGCAGCATCACAGCTGTGCCAAAGGAAAGATCTTTAGACATGCATGCAGCGTGGTTCAAGGGATGGCAGTATTGGTCACAGACTGACATATCTCAACAACTACTCAAGGGGGTTGCCATGAAATTTTGTAATGGCATTCATGGTTCCCAAAGGAGGCTGACAGTTGTAGTACTGAGTGAAGTGTCTTGACAAATATTGGATGGGTTGCCATGAAATTAGGTACAGACATTCATGTCCCCCTCGCTAATCTAAGGTGGTGAACATTGCGAGCATGTGAGCATACTGATGTTAGCATTTATCTCAACGCGCCACTTCCTAGATCCACTGTCTGTCTGTCTGTCTGTCTGTCTGTCTGTCTGTCTGTCTGTCTGTCTGTCTGTCTGTCTGTCTGTAGACTCCTCTCATTCCTTCTCTCTTCTGTCCCTCCTCCTCCACAGAAAGGAAGGAAGTGCTCTCGTACCCATAAGGCCCCTGAGCCTCACCGTCTGTCCTATGCCGGCTGCAGGAGCACTCGCCTGTACAGGCCCAACTACTGCGGCGTATGCAGGGACGGCCGCTGCTGCTCGCCCCGCCGCACGCGCACCGCCAGCGTGACCTTCGCCTGCCCTGACGGCGAACGCTTCAACAGGTCCGTGATGTTCATCCAGTCCTGCAAGTGCAGCGACGAGTGCAACCATCTTAACGAGGCCGCCATGCCTCCACAGCGATGGCTCTACGGCGACACACATAAGTTCGTCGACTAGTGGTACCCCCCCAGCCCCCCCCCAACCCCACCCCCAAACCTACATTCCTTCACAAGACTTTAACTCCCCCATAGAATAGATTAGCTGTCCTTAGTGTATCTTTGAGTAGACGTGAGAAAAAGGTGCACACGTCAAAACATCTCGTCTGGAAAACAATTTGGGGAGGAATGGGGAGAAGAACGAATCAGATGGGCGCATCTCCAACTTGGAAACAGCAAAGTGACCAGCCCCTGCTTTAGTGTAGATAAAAAAGTAGTTCTGTTCCGGCCAGACTACTTCAGACTTTGACAAAAATCTTTGTGGAAGCATGGACGCAGCCAGCTGCCATGTTGCTGCCACGCACCAAAACGTCCTCTGAACTCTGAGACTTTTGTTGGGGACAATGGAGCGAGAGCTGACACGTACAAGTGAACGTTGACGGTGTGAATTCACACCTCAGATACTGAGCAACAGATCGGACGAGCTGATACGAAGCTGGTCTGGCTGGCTGGTGCTTTGGAGCCAAATATGAAACCAGCTGTGCACTCCAATAGCCGAGTGACGATAAACCAAATGAAGACTCACAAAGAAGACTGGGATGGCGAAAGGTGGAGGAGCATCTCAGATGTTCTGGCAGAAGCGAGGCTTGTGTCTTTTTATGGTATTTATTCATTGGTATTTATTGTTGGGACAGACACAGCGGCCTGCCACCAGGGAAGGCGGCGCTGCTATGTTTGGAGCATCAGTGTGGCTGAACGGGGATCTGAGAGGGACAAAACAGCTGAGAGCTGTCACCCATGAGAGGGAGAGGAGGACTCCCACAGAATCCGCGGCTTGACCCCCGGGGTCGCATCAGAGGTCACAGCGGTCAGAGAGCCATATCTAATGATGGATGATGAAGGCTGCAGGAGAAGAGGAGGTATGTACTGGAAAAAGACAGAGTTGAACCTGATGGGTTAAGGCTTTGCACGCATTAGTGGGGAATATGTCAAAGGTTGTTTACACAGCTGGGCTCATCCCCTGCCTTGCCTCCACAAGAAACTGAGACATTTAGCAAGCACCAGAAGAACAAGCCTGGGATTCTGGCGTCAAGAAGTCGACCGCCTAATTCTGTGCAAATTACAATCCTGACTCTGAGGGGCAGTGAGAGAAAATCAGCCACTCTCTGGTTTGCTATAAAAATAAAATTTGAAAACGGCGTGTACTGAGGTAAACATGTAATTTGTGACTCGCGGGCGGAACCGCTCTGGTGCCCAATCTGGCCTGTAATCGAGCGACAAGCCGGCTCACTGAAACGAAACAATAACTCATGCGTCGTCGTGTTTAAGTTGTGTCTATTTCTGAGAAACGCTGTTAAAGGCTGACGTCACTGTCGGAGCTCCGTGGCCAATGGAGAGGACGGAGCCAGACGTCAACAAGTTACCTGTTTCTAAGGACACTGCTAAAGACACGATTGAAGGAGAGGAATCCTGTATTATTGTTTAATTTTTGTGACTGAGATCCTTTAGAAGAACCCAGGCATCTTCCTTTACTGGTGGTTGGGTTAAAGTTCACGCACCTTACCACAGCCTTGACTCACGACCTGACCTTGCAGGCCTCTCTCTCTCTCTCTCTCTCTCTCTCTTGAGAATGTAATGCAGAGCGATTGGGATTTTTATTTCTACTGCATACACATTTGCCATAAAGAGGTGATTCTGAATCATTTGAAGCACCATTTCATTTTTTTTTTTGTGCCATGAGATAGTGACATAGTGACATTTTTGCAGTTTTCTGTGAAACTGGAAGATATTTTTGCATTTTCTACCATCTCTTGGCCACAGTAGGCTTCCTTAGTTCAGAGACTGCTGGCTCTAATACTTACAACCTTGTTAAGGGGTTTTTAACTTTACAGGTGATTATGTGAAAATGTGTTTGCCATTGCCTATTTGCCTATGTAGATGCTGTGGTTTTGGTACTGTATGTCTAGATTTGTTAAAGGACACTATAGAGCAGCTATGTACAGATGCCTTGTTACCTTCTTTGTAGTTCTATCTGCTGTATAAGGGCCAATCCTTTTACAGAGTTATACTGAAGTAGTCCATGTATAGTTTAGCACTGAACGAGGCAGGGTTCAGATCCTTTATGAGCATTAAGTGCCAATTTAAAAGCATGACGATTGTATGTCTACTAGTGAACATTAATACCATCTGTAATTATGAAGTCATGCTTTCTAGGATTATATGTTTTTAAAAAAAAAAAGAGTCAAGAGGCAAAACACAATTTACCATGTTCCTCACAAAATCTCCTCTGGTTGCTTTACACACATTTCAATGAGTTCATCGTTTTGCTTTTTTTTTTTTTTTTTGAATAAAGAAATTTTCCTTCACTTCACTTTGTGTTGAAAACTTAATATGATCATTTTCTTATGAAGTAGATAAAATTACCTGATGATGTTTTAATTAATGGCCAACAAGATCAAGTGTCAAGCTGTACTTTACAGCTGTGGTTTGAGCTAGATGCTAACATACTCACAGTAACAATGCTGTTTATGAGGTATAATGTTCATGATTGTCTCCATTTTAGTTTAGCCTTTTAGCATGCTAACATTTGTTGATTAGCACTCAAATACTTAGTCCAGCTGAGGCTGATGGGAATCAGTTTGCAGGTATTGAATATAAAAAATGAAATTATCGAACGAATTAAAATTTTGACCTCAAGGTGGCAGTAGATGGAGTCAAAGGATCGGCCGAGAGTTGTTGAGATATTTCAGTTTGGACCAAAGTGATGGAACAAAAGAGCCGTTTCTTCTGCCATTTTGCTAGCAAGGCTAATAATCATCATTTGAACGTCAAATCATTATTAGGCGGCTTTTAGTGAAAGAATCACCGTTTTTTTGCTTGAACAGTAACAGTACATAGAATTAATGACATTTTGTCATTGCAGCTTTGTGTGTGAAGTATTTTTTTAATACCTAAAAACAACATAAACAGATACATGTAAAACATCAATCATTTCATTATACAGTGCGCTAATGACATACTCGTATTAAAATTTGAAAATTCACCACTATTACTCAACTTGGTGACTTTTGTTTATTGGAGGCATTCAATTGGAAATTCAGAGAAAGAGCTGCCATATGAGCCAAAATTGTGTCGTCGTTAACTGTTACTACATGACTACTTGATTACTTTGTAAAGATCAACTGTGTCGCATCGCGAGGGAAAAAACCACAACAAACAAAATACTTGCTATACACACACTAATTTAAAAAAAGGGGGGCTAAAAATTGCTTTAAGTTCCTCAGGACTACTTCTCTGAACGGTTCTCTGCTCGACACGGAAATCAATGAAAATGTGGTAGAGACAGGAATCGCCCCTCAAGAGACCACAATAGTAAAAATGGAATTTTATAAAAAGTTTTAATTTCATTGAGCAAAGAAAAAAAGAAACAGTAAAAGACAAATTAAAATCGACCATACCCCTGTCCCCAAAAACTGGCAATAAAAATAAATGTTTGGTGAACATAGGGAACACGCAGAGCTTTCAAATCAACAGTGAAGTACATCTACTTCCAAATACAAGACACAAGATCCATGGAGAGGAGACTTCTGCTTGGCTGGACGACTCATCTGGACTGCTCGACTAAAAAGAGGGACAGAGCAGGAGAGACATGAGTTGAGCATGTTAAAGATCAGAGCGACGAGCAACAGCTGAGCATACCGGCTTTTCACCAACAGGTTAAACATGTAAGGGATTTGACGAGAGCTCTGCGGTTACATGGCAGCACCAACTGCTGCCTCTAGTTGCCAAAACAACTCTAAAGGTTTATTCCATCAGCTGATTATCTGTAGGGCAATCGTAAGTGCCCATTTAATCCACAAATTACAATCATACCAACTGGTCTGGCCAACAGACCAACTTCAATAAAGGACATCAAGCATCACAACATTTTCAGCAGCCATTCGGATATGGAAAGACTTACTGTAAGAGGAGATGTCAATCTCGTCTGGCAGCTCCGCCACGTTGACCTCAAAGCGGTCCTGCACGTCGTTCAGAGTCTTGGCATCGGTCTCGTCAGACACAAAGGTTATAGCCAGGCCTTTGGTCCCAAACCTACCAGCACGGGCAACCTGGTGGGTGTAGAGAGATAAGAGTGAGTGAAATCTCAAACACATGTACCAAACATTCAATACTTTGCGCAATGAGGAAAAATTTCCAGAATCGTGCAAAAGGTTATGGCACAATACTCAGGTACTGGAAAATAACCTTGTCCCTGAACATTTGTACTGACTGATGCTACAAAAGGCAAACATATGGAGGGAAAACAAGTGCAGCTTTTCCCTTCTCTGCAGTTCTCACCCTGTGCAAGTAGGTGTCAGAATCTTCTGGCATGTCGTAGTTGAAGACGATATTGACTCGCTCGATGTCCATCCCTCGGCCAAAGAGGTTAGTTGCCACCAAGATCCGCCTTTGAAAGTCCTTGAATTGCTGATAGCGAGACAGCCTGGGGGGTTAAGAAGGGGCAGGGAGGGAGGACAGAGCCAGAGAGAGGCTTATCAACACAGCTGCTGTAGGAATTACTGGACTGTATCCCTTTGAAGGCAATGATGTGTTGAGTTAACTGATGAGGCCTCATGCTCCATAAACATACTTAGCAATCACTGTGCAATAGGGAATATGTTTATGAGAGCGTGTAAGAGGAAGGTGTGTGTGTGTGTGTGTGTGTGTGTGTGTGTGTGTGTGTGTCTTACCTCTCCTCCTGAGCCATTCCCCTGTGGATGGCAATGGCAGGGAAATTTTGTTCCACCAGGAGCTGGGACAGAGCGATGCAGCGCTGGACTGACTTGACAAAGATCACCACCTAGAGGAGAAGCAGACGCATTAAAACACAGCTGCTCAGACAACACGGGCCAGCAACTGGGATTTCTACTGATTATGAATTTGGGATTGTAAATGGACAGTGGAATTTTATCTCGGTGTCTGAACAGCTTTTAAAATTAGTTTGAAATCTTAGGAAGAGTTTGATAATAAGAGCGACAACCTTCAATATCAACCTACAGCCAAGTGTCGACTATGTTAGATGAGCCGACTGGAAACTGCCAACCACAACCTGTAAGGCTCACCAATTAAATTTTTATTTGTTTAACCTGTACAAAAACCAAAGTGTATAAAATTATAAACTGCAGTTTTATGGTGGGTTATATTCCACAGGATTTCTCAGATAAGAATAGTAACTTCCTGGAGTCTCCATTGGTTGCCTAACAACTGCTCCCAACCAAGAAATACATTTGGTAAGAGTAACATTATCCAATGCCATAAACATTTCCGTAAAATCTCAAAATACATGACTATGGAACCCCCCCCCAATATAATCCGAGGTTAAATTAAGTACCACAGCTTGTGAATTTATGAATATCTGTATGTTTTCCAATTCTTAAAAATAACAGAGTAAAATAGTGAGCCAATTGGGACAGTCATGCAGCAGCTCCATCAGGTTACCTGGTTGAACTCCAACACATCAAGGAGGTCAAAGAGCTTGCGGTTCTTCTCGCTGTCCTTCAGCTTGCAGTAGTACTGTTGCAGGCCGTGGAGTGTCAGTTTGGTCTCGTCATCCACAAATACTTCCATGGGCTGCACGGGAGATGGTAGAGTGTTAGTCCAGTAGTTACAATAGCAAAACATTAATATAAAATAATATGAAATTAAAAAAAAAACAAAACACCGCTTCCTCGTTCACTTACATCCTGCATGAATTTGCGGCAGACTGGTCGGATCTCTTTGCTCAGAGTTGCACTGAACATCATGACCTGCTTCTCATGGGGTGTGATCCTGAAGATGTCCTGTACGTCACGCCTCATGTCTGCCACACAGAAGGGATGTCAGTGGCATACACATGAATACAGATAAGACTCGGATTAAATACTGAGTTTACAAATACATCAAAGTAAAATAAACTAGAGCTAAGAAGAAAAGTCGAAGACTAAAGAACACACCTAGCTGCTCCAACATCTTGTCACACTCATCCAGGACAAAATGCTTCACGTTCTTCAGACTGAGGGTCTTGTTCCGGATGAGAGCGAGGATGCGGCCCGGTGTTCCGACGACGATGTGAGGGCAGTTCTTCTTCAAGACCTCTTCGTCCTTCTTGATGGCCAGGCCACCAAAGAATACTGCTGCTTTTACCGTGGGCATGTACTTGGAGAAACGCTCGTACTCTTTACTGATCTGGAAGGCCAGCTCTCGTGTGTGGCACATGACTAATACAGAGACCTGAGGGGGTAGAATCACAGTAACAGATACTTTAAATTTCAGTGAATTACTGGAAACTTACTTTAGCCTCAAAATGTGTAGGCGCAATATCTATGCCATCTAAAATTCAACTGCAAGATTTAAAAACGCAGAAGTCATTGAAACTAATGAAACAATATAAGTGTGCGATTATATTCTCGGCACACAATGTGTATCCTGTTCCAACAAAGGAGAAGGGTTTCGAAAAGTTTGTGCTTTTTATGAGATCTAAGTGCTTTTACCAAACAATTAAACATGTGGTTATGTACCCAATGTAAGCTGAATTAAACTTTTCTTTCTCCCATTACATCATCTTAGGATACTGACAGGAAGCCCTTTAATAAGATATGAGGATGCAAACAAATGTGCGTTTCAGATAACAACCCAAAAGGACAGCCCATTTTTTGTTGAAGAAAGTCTATGATAATGCTCTTAACACACAGATCTTGTATTGAACACAGATACTAACCTGTCCATCGACTGGTTCAATCTGTTGCAGTGTGGCCAGCACAAACACAGCTGTCTTGCCCATACCAGATTTGGCTTGACAAAGGATGTCCATGCCCAGGATAGCTTGTGGGATGCATTCGTGCTGGACTGTAAGAAAAACAGAGAACATAGAAATTATTTCAAGCTCTTGTACAAAAAAACATGCAACAACAATTCGAATAGTATTTTTTGCATTTAATCAATTAGCTATACTAGTAACTTGTAGGTGCCCCTAGTGTACACAGAACAACAGAAACTACTTTTTCCCCACTCTTAACAGAAATACAGACCGAAAGACCCAAAAGCTAGTCACCTTCAGACGGATGCTCAAAACCACAGTCGATGATGGCACGGAGCAGCTCTGGTTTGAGCAGGAAATCCCTGAACCCAGAGCTGTGGATGGAAACGTAGGAACCCTTCACCTCCTTCTTGCCTGCTGGGGCTGCGCTCTCGGGGGCTCCTTGGGGCTCTTCATCTTCTTCGTAGACTCGAGGCAGCTTCGTTATCTAAACGTCATTCTCAGCCATTTGTGTCTGTTTAAAAAACACGGAAAAACACACAGTTTGTTTTTAAAGTCGGTTTATCTAATCATCAGCTACCTTATGTGATATCCCCCGTTACTGGGCTTACAAAGGGGGGGGGGGGGGGGGGTTAATCTAAGCCCACCAGTTGTTGCCATTCTTTGTGCCAGGACCGACCACACGGTCTAATACATTTAAGGAACATATTTTGAGCGGTGGGTGAAAAGTGAGGAAGTCGCCATTCTATGAAAAGATGGGTTAGGTTTTGTCCAACTCGTGATTCAAGTATAACCAGTACTGATATAAACCTACACTGAATACCACTGTTGTATTCACTCTCGCAACCCCATAATAAAATGTGCGGCAACCGAGTGAGATATGCTAGCTAATTTAGCTCATTATAGAGGGAACATATTAGCACATGAATCAAAGGTTTGTGCACTAAATGTAAGAAAAGTGTCTTCTGCAACAGACACAATATCACTAACAGACTTGGTCAAGACGTAGGCTTGGACTTTAGCCGACACTGTCGGATTACCGGTTAGCTTCAGAGCCGTGTACAACACTGAAACGCTATTGTGTTGCATAACCATTGCTAACGTGGCAAGCTAAAGTGCTATACGGTAACGGATATTTTGCTAGCTGAGCAGGTAAAGAACACGCATGATATGCACAGATGTTATACAGATAATTGTAAAGAACGCAATACGAAGAATGTAAAACGGCTATGCAATTACTGAAAACTAATATGAGGAAGATTGGATGGTTGGCTAAGCTATCTTATGCTAGGCTACAAAACGCTGGCTAGCTGGACGGCACCCTCAAGCAAACAATGAAAGAATCTATTTCATTGCGTAGTAGCTACGTTGTGACTTTAGCAAAATAAATCTCATATAATTAATCTCATAACATCCTGGATGCCAGTCGAAGTTTAACAAACTCTCTAGTTACAACAATAAATCGATATTGCGTTCTTACCTTTTCTTTTCGGCGTTAGCTACCAGTCCACTTCAGATCGAAACCGCATGGGGAGGCCTCAGTTGGTTTATACGAGTAACCGGAAGTTCCGCCTCCGGTGAAGTACGTTGACATCATTGGTGGATTCGGACGCTCGCTGACAAACGAGGCCAGCGATTCGACAAAAAGTGTGCCGCAGTACAGCGCAGTTCAAAAAAGCGGGACACCAGAGGGGATACATCGCAGATCGACTCTGGGTATGGGAGCTCGTGAGGAACACGGAAAATAAATAAATATTTAATTGATAAATAATCACAATAAAAAAAGTAATTTATATTCATCTAAAAATAAAATGAATAAATGATTGAGAGCAGGTAAGTCGACATAAATGATATTCTAAATTGTGATGCATTGTGCCCCAAAATACAAACTTAGTCTTGTTGCTTCCTTGAATAGGTGGGAACTGTAGCAGTATTATTGTGTCAGCTGTAAAGATCAAACCTTTGTTAATGTTATACGGCCAATCGATTTGCAAATATTTATTTTAATATCTACCAGAGGTCTTAGTATAGTATTATGTCTGCCTTGATACTTAGAGTTTACTGTTCACGGAGTGTATTCAGAAAGACGGGTGTGTACTGCCCTCCAGTGCTCACAGAGAGGCAACACAACATTAAATTAGTAACAGAAACACACAGTGCTAATTTTTGTAAAATCACAACTAGTAAGTACAACTTATTATATTTATTATAAATAACAAAATCAATAGCAGTATTGATGGAAAAAACTTAAAAATTTTTAATGTTGGGACTGATGTAATCTGCTGGAAATGGTCACATCAGCATCAGGTCAGACCTGATAGCAAATAAACACTTTCAGTGAGTATGTTCATGATAAAATGACCAACTGGAATCAGAAACAAACACATGACCAAAAATGAAAGAAATATATGTTTATTATGTGTGCTAAAATGTACAAACAACACTGTTGTGTTAAAAACTCACATTAGAAGGACCAACAGGAAAACTACATTCTAAATGAATGCCTGAAAAACTTAGCCAAAAGCACTGCAAAAGGAAATCCCATTATAAAATACAAAATACATATATAAAAAGGTGCCTGGCAGAATACCGTCAGTGTTAGGATGCTGTTAGGAGTCAGATAGTCATTAGTCTTATATCTGTGATTCCAGAGCAGAGGAGAAGCTCCACTGTGTCGGAGAGAAGTATGGGAAACTGTCAGACTCTGGCCGGGAATGACCGTCTGAGTATGCACCAGAGGTGGGGCATGAAGTCAGGAAGTCCCTGACATGGGGAGGCAAAGAAAGAAACAGCCAGTCTTCCACCAGGAGACCACCTCCATGCAGCCCTGAGCAGCAGCCCAGCTCGGCGGGCAGTTCTTCCAGACTGTTGCTGCGCAAGTCCAACCTGCACAACTGACTCAAAGCTGCAATCCCCCTGGGTAATGAACTAAGAGAGTTGTGAGCCACATTTAGGATGCGCAGCTCCAAACAACCACTGAACAGCTGAGGGGGCAGGCGCTCAAGCCTGTTCCCACTGAAGTCCAGCTCTGTAAGCAGCTGCAGTGCCTTTATCTCTACAGGCAGCACTTCGAGCAAGTTGCCAGCCAGGAGCAGCCTACGCAGGCGGAGAAGAGTGAAGAGCGCCGGAGGAAGGCTCTGGAGGTGGTTGTTGGACAGATCCAGGAGCTCTAGGCCTCGAAGCACACCAACACTAGCCGGCAGCGCTAGAACACGATTGTAGGCAAGTCTAAGGCAAGAGAGACGCCGCAGATGAGCCAGACTAAGCAACTCCTCCAGAGTTCTCAAGTTGTTATGCTGCAGGTCAAGTGTGCGCAGCTTGGTCAGAGCCAGCAGTGCAGAGGGCAAACGCTCTAGCTGGCAGTCCTGCAGCAGCAGCTCTGTCAGGTCGACCATTCGCTTCAATCCTGTCAGCACAAGAAGCCTGGTGCCCTCATTGTAGATCTCCAGTCTCACCAAACTGCCTGCCACCTCATACAACTCGCCAGGGATCCGCTGCAACATGCCTCGAATCACCAGTACACGGAGGTGACGCAACTGGCGGAGGCTCCCCAGTGCCCAGCTGCGGCCTACCCCACCTTCACTGCTCAGGCGACCAGAGAGGTGGAGCTCATGCAGGCTGCGGAGGGAGAGGACCCAGCTGGGGATCTCTGATACCTGAGTAAAGGTGAGGTGGAGGACCTCCAGACGTTCCTGGAAGAATCCAAGTGCACTGGGATCCACAGCTGCAGTGCAGTGGTAGAGGTGGATCTCTCTGTTGAAGGAGTAGCCAATAAAAGAACAAATTAAATGTGCAGAAATATGTTTTTAATTTGTATATCACATTCAGGTAATACAAATATATATAATTTAAAAATAAAACATTGGAAATAAAAATTGATTTGATTTGCATTGTTTAAAATGTGTGAAGCATAACGACACCACTGCACAACTCACCTGAGTGAGGTCATCTTGGCTACCTGTGCAGTAAACCTGGCATCTGAGATGAGCTCCAGTTTGAGGACCTGAAGCTGGCTGAGGGTGAAGAGGGCTGGAGGGAGGCGAGGCAGCGCCACCAGCTGCAGTCTGGAGCAGCCGTCTGCGTCCACACTAGTCATGGCACGCAGCTTCTCCTCCCCCCAGCGCCTCTCTAAGCTTTCCTCCATCAGCCTGCTCTCACTGACCGGGGACAAAAACACGGACAGGCGCTGGGCCAGCAAAGGGTCGTACTGGTCCAACATGTGTAGAAGAAAGGCCAGGTCATTTCTCAGGTCTGGAACATCCCTCAGGGAGCACAACTCCTTCAGTGAGTGAAAGGAGTACTGTCGTAAAGAGCTACACAGGGCACAAAGCAAAAAACCAAAATGAGAAATATATCACAGAGAAAATAATGTAGCCCAAAACACAGCATTAAACTGTAATCCTATTATAGGCCCTCTGGTATGCTCCACCTCATGAGCATTGTTCTTATTGAAGGCCCTTTGAACAACCACAGCCTGTGTAGTCAATTTAAAATTATCAATTTGCCATTTTACAAGTTTATCTTGTGTAAGAAATGCGATAAATTATATATCCATAAGCCTATTTAACCCCTCAATGGTTGTGTGTGGACAGTCTTCCCTTCACTTACTGTACATTTTGCATGTTTTCGCCCATTGATGACAATTTGTTCACACTTTACGTCACTGCTGTTTCAAAAGCTCAGGATTCACTTCAGTAAAGTATGAAAATCAATGTACAGAGAATTTGAGACAGGTAATTCATCACATGGAGCATTATGATGTCATATTTTTTTGTCAGTTTTGTTATTTCATTGATGTTAGTAGTGTAAATTAAATGATGTTAAATGAAGTTAAATGATGTAAGTCTGAAACAAATGAAAAGGGCTGCATGAAAGGTATGAAAACAAATTCGTACTAGTAATGGAAAACGGTAATGGTTCTTTCATATTAACTTGATTGACCTAACGTGTTAGCAAACAGTTAACAGCTCACACTTAATTCACCGATCCAACAGATGTGGAGCAACATTAGCATTTATTTAGAGTCCCTTTTTCTGGCCAATGTAAATCCAATATACACTCGCTTTAAAGCTTTGTTCTGGTCTCCTTCCTTCAGGAAAATATTTGGCTCTGCAGCTAAATGCTCCACTCTGTTCACCGGCAAGTTGCCAACTACGTCTATCTGCTGGTTTGTGCTACATAGAAAAGTATAGTGGGTATTTATAGCTTTATATATTGAATACAGTTTCTTGCTGCGTGAATTAAAACAAGAAAGTTGTGGGTGAAAACCTCGATAGAGCTGAGAGGAACTGCAGAATTGCGTGATAATTCTCTGTGGGATTGTAACTACAACCAAACATTTTCACATCATACATACAGTATGTTGATAAAAATATTAATTACAGCAGCTTTAAAAGTTTTTTTTTATCCAAATATAGTTTTAGGTTACAGCACCAACACATTCATCCCTGCATACTGTACACACACCTGTGTAAAATCCAGCTGAGGGTGTAGAAGTTGAGCAGGCCGTACAGCCCCAGCAGGGTCAGGTAGGCCACCAGCAGTTTGCGTAGAAGTGAGGAGAGCACATGGATACACTCGAAGGTAGCGTAGCCCACCAGGGCCTGCTCCTCAGGGTGGCAGGTGTGGGTGAAGGATAATTTGTTGAGAAGTGGGATGGTGTAACTCACGATCAGCGTCACCATCAGCATTTTGAATATCGTCTGAGCCAAGTAGACCTAAATGGATGAAAGGGGGTATTATGAATAAATTAACAATTGAGCTTGACTAAACGTTAAATCATGCTGTAAGAGTATCATTTAACAATATGGTGTATAGATCTAATAGAGGATCTCTCACCTTATAAATGACAGCTGAGCTTTCACAGTGGGACCGAAATTTCCTGACCCTTTCGAACAGCGCCCTGGCCTGCTCCCCATCACTTTTATCCAGACTGATTACCTGCCTGGGACTGTCAACCATGACTGACGGCTTGGAGTCAGGAAAGTGCGCCGGGGAGCCGAGAGATTCAGACGACATGGTGGAGTTACAGGAGAGAGTGGAAGGGCACGGGGAGGGAGATACGGCGGAGGACATACTGTCTGACCTCTTTAAGAGTGGGCTGTCTGTGCCTGAGTCTATGCTTGAACGTCTTGTGCGGGTCACTGGGGGTGAAGATGAGGAGGGAGGAGGTCGGGGTTGTCGTCTCTCCACCTCTTTCTCTTGGATGTTCTCCTGCTGGGCAGCGTGCGACAGGGCTTGAGACGTCCAGGGTGACTCGCAGCACTTTGCTAAGATGGCCAGGAAGTGCTCTATGCGGGCGGAGGTGTGGGGGAAGTGGAGCCAGAAGGAGCCGCTGGCTACCAGCACTAGAGACTGCAGTAAGGCCATGTAGGGAAAGAAGCGGGAGCACAGAGGCAAAGCCTCATGGTAGCACACCTGGACAGACAGACAGTCAGACATTTCAACCTGTAGTCATTGATGTTTTGGCCACTTGGGGGCAGCAAAAACAAAAAACTATGAACACAACTCTGACGTTTTACAACCCAGTAAGCAACTTCTTATCAAACAGCTGCCTATTTACACATCCAGCAAGTACGGAGCATCATTAGCATCCATTTGGAGTTGTGTTTGTGTTCACCTAATACATTTAAGTCCAATATAAACTCTCTTTTAGCCCTGTTTTTGGTTTCTAACAATTCCTAAGGGAAATATCTGGCTCTTCAGCTGTTAATTGCTTCACTAGCTAGCTGCTAAATATAACTGTCTGCTGTTTAGTGCAGGGCAGATATGCGCAGTTGGTTTTTTTATAGCTTTTTTTTTTCTTTCTATGGCTTCCCTTTTGAAGCCTAAAATGACACACCATGACACTGCATGACTCCTTTCACATACATACATCATCTGATCCTTTGTTGGTAACAGCCACTTTAAAGTGACTTTACAGATGACATTTTTGTTGCTTTCAAATTACAAAGGCAAGTAAGGCGAGTGTGACAGTACCTGGCTAATGTACACATACTGCTGGTAGACCAGGTGAGTACGTCGACCCCGGGCTGCGGAGTACAGATTTGGGCTGATGTTGTGTGGACTGTGAGGCTTTGACGATGGACTCGGTGCCACGTTGCTGCTAGCTGATAAACTGTGATTGCTTGTATTTGCAGTAAGTGGATCCAAGGGGATGCACACCACTCGGTCCCGGGACAGCTGCTCAGTGCAAGCCAAAACAGATGTCATCAGCATCAGGACCACCAGGTAGTCCATGAAGACCTCCCACCATGGCTTCAGCAATTTAGACCTGTTCTGATGCTGGTTCAGAGGCGCCAGCTCTGACAGGGAAAACATGGCGACCTCCGGGTTCAACAAGGATGACTGTAAGAGATGGTAAAGAAAGGTCTGGGCCGCGCACATAAACTGATGTCGTGATGAACAAAGACAAAGACTAATATCGCCAGATAGTGTTATGGCTCTACAGGCAGATTTAGACACTAGTTTCTGCAACAGCAATTATTACAAATCTAAATACAGTTTAATTTATCTAAAGATTAAAGGGTCACCACATGTGATAACAGCTGTCAGAATATGTGACCTATCTGTGGAGTCACCAGTTCTGGTAATAGCAAAACAACTACAGCATGTGACCACGGCCTGATCCAGGAAAATCCTAATCAGATCACAGAATATGATATACCCAATAAAGATCCTGTTTTAAAGGCCTCGACAGCAAATGTTATCAAACAGCTTATTACTGTGAACAATGTGGTCCTACATGAACACACCTTTTTTCTGACAGAGTTCAAAAAGTGTGTTTTTATTTTCCGAGAGATTTCTGTATTTGTGTTTTTGTCCTTGCTTTTGAAAAAGATGATGTCACGTTTGTCCCCGCAGCAATCAGGATTTAACAAAATCTGAACCAAAATGTAGTTGTGGGGTTTGTTTACACCCACATAGTCCTGGTGACAGATTAGCTGAGCTTTATTATACCTAAGGATGTTTATTTTCTACGAGTTGAACTTTGACTTTGAATAACAATAATATTTAATGGTCCAAAGCAGATTTGAAACCAAGTTTTCAGGGGCTTTAAACAAGAATTTCAAAAGGATCTTTTACAAGGAAAGCTTTGTGCTTTCAAGGAGAGTCGATAAAAGAGGAAATTACAAGAGAAGTTTTTTGATCGATCATATAAAAATCTTTTGATTAGTGGTTGCAAATAAAGAGTAAACTAATAAGCAAAACTTCCACTGTAATCAACTCTACTTCTTGGGTAAAATGCAGATCAGAACTAAACAATTCATGTTACAGTTAAAGCCCAGATTAACTTTCACCTACCTAGGGAAACAACTCTTTTCTCCCCCTCTTCTGATCAGCTCCCAGCAGCCTCCTTACAGAAACTTCATTCCGGCGCTGTCCGGTTCTGCCGTGAAAAACTCCTGAAACTTACAACAAACTCCTCCTCAGCTGGCCGTCACACAGCTTTTCAAGGGTTGCCATGGCAGCGGAGGATGTGTGGCAGAAAAATCTAATTCAGCACTAGAAGCGCGTTCAAGACCCACCAGGGGCCTGTCCGCACCCTTTAACTCCTTCAGAACTGAGTTACTCTGAGGAAAACATCACGGGAGTGTCAGACAAAAATCACAGTCACAAGAAAACTTGTTCTTACAGTTTATCTAAAACAAAAAACACTTATCATAAAGAGAGGCCCTTTCAGAAAGTTTTTATTTTATCCTATACTGTTGGGTATTAATATAAAAATACCCTACAGATGTAGGCCTTTCCACCACTGATGTGCTTGCTGAATTTTATTACATTAAATATCAACTTCTGTCAGTTATTTGGATAAAAGATTTTTTAACCAACATTAGCAGATGGAATAAAAATGATAGATATAGTTTACGTCCTCCATTTTCACTTCACTCACTTACATGACTATTGGGTTCCCTATAGAAATAAAATAACAACTCTATATCCAATAATATCCAGCAGGGGCTGCTGAAGTGAAAGGGCTATGAGTTAAACAGCAGTTTTCGACTTTGACTAATTCAGTCACGCTGCAGCTTTTAGTGTTTGACCCACATAAGTAATGACTGACTGATTTCTGTTTTGTGTCATTCTGCCACTTTATGAATGGATGTGTGCTTCTGAAACAGGTTTGCTTCCTCAGAGGTTAAAGGTTACAGAAGCTACAGACTCTGATGACTGTGGAGTTCCAGTGTGTGTGTGTGTGTGTGTGTGTAAGGGTCATATTTAAGTCAGTGCGCTGTTTCTCTTGTATCTGGGGTAAGAAGAATCTGGAGCAAAGACTCAAACTGACAGTGAACCACAATGTGATCTACTCTCCACAGCTGGCATGTGTATTTACTGTGAATTCTGCTAAATGTGCATGTGTGCATGTGTGTAAGTGTGTGCGTGTGTGTGTGCAGAATGTGGTAGCTGCAGCAGCGGTGGCAAACAGTAAGTGCGAGTTGAGACTAGCATCTACTGTTGCCACAGTGAAAAATCTCCAGATAAAGTGTGATAGCTGTAACTGTGAGGGAAGAGGACAGTTCCTTAGGTAATGTCTTATCACCAGCTACTGCTAAATACAAAGTCAAGCCCACTATATACTGTTCTTGGATTACTGTGTTTTTGAAAGTTGTGAAATCTACAAGGTCATCAGATGGGTGCTATCTGATAAAAGAATCACAGATTGGGGTTGCCCTGGCAACCTGACTGCATTTAATACAAATGCATTGATAAAGTGTACCACGTTCATCATCTTAGCTTATCATGTGAGCATTTTGCTTTAAACTAGCTCTAAACACAGATTACAACTGATGCAGATGGGAATATTATAAGTTTTGCAGGTATTTGGTCACAAACCAAATTTGTGAACAAATTAAAACTTCGACTTTTCGGAGTTATAACAATTTATCCTGATTGGGGGAAGTGAAATTTAATGACAATCCATCTAATTGTCAAGTCCTTTCATACGAACACATGGTGGTGCCAGAAGAAAGGTCAGTGGATTACCAAAGTCATTAGGCATTATCATCTGGGGACCATGAATATCTGTACAAAATATCATTGCAATCCCTCCAACAGTTGTTGAGATATTTCAGTCCGGTCCAAACTGAGTGACAGACTGACTGATTGTAGCTAAAGACATCAAAATAGTGCTATTACAGTACATATATGAGGGCAACAGGTACATTTATCAAACCAGATATCAACAACGACAATGTTAGCAAGGAAGACATGAACTAACAAAACTCAACTCTAACACCAAACCTACTTTAATTATGAATTTGTCTTGAACCTGCATTTATCCACTTTTTGTCCAGCTGTAAACACAACATAGTCATATCATAATCACTTGCAAAGTTGTTATGGCTAATGTGTTAGCAAGTTAGCAAACAGTTGCCTATTTACTCACCCAGCAGATACAGAATACTGCTGTACCTAGAACCATGTCCCTAGCTTAGCTGCTACTAACAAAAATAGCTTCATGCTAAGCTAAGGTAACTGCTTCCTGGGACGCTCAGAGATGAGAGCGGTATCAATATTCACGTTTAACTCTTGGCAAGAAAGTGAATTACCCAAAATGTCTATGTCTAAATGGCTATTTGTAAGTTTTGCTATTGCTACTTAACTAACGTTAGCATTAACAACTCTTTACTTACCAAGTTTTGCAGAGAGGTTCAGCCATTAATGTATTTACAGGACAAGAGGTTAAAATACGCCCTCTGAGCAGAACTATTTCTTCATGGCAGACTGGACGCTTCTGTGATTCAGTATCAGAAAGTGACCAGACAGGCCAACCAGGATGGAGCTAGCTGGTTAGCATGCTCACTTCAGTAGAAGAAAAGAAGTGATCGAAGTAGACGCAAAACAAGAGCTGGAGACAGCTTTTGGTGGTAAGTCAGTTTCCTCCGACTTCATCTAAATTTCAATCTTGGACTTTGAGGAGATATCTATTTTACAATCTGTGTTTTTATTTTGTTTTTATACTGTTTTCTTATTGTGCTTTTTACTTCTATTTTCATGCTTCTTTTAGTTTTGTTAAGCACATTGATAATGTTCCTAAGTAAACAGCTGTTAATGCTAACATTACCTATGTAGGAATAGCAAAGCTTGAGCGTAGGAATACGGTAGTTCAACAGTTGAAAAAATGTAGTTTCAAAGGAAAGGGCTGATAAAATGGTGAAAATATTCAAATTGAAGTGTACATTTCCTTTTTTTTTTCTGTGGGCTAAAACACATTTCCACAGCAGTACATCACTAAGCTTATGTGTCGTCGGTCCCTGCTGCTTCTCTAAACTGGGAGGTCACTGATCCAAATCTACTGCAGGAAATACACTGACTATAGATATGTACCTCACACAACCACATTTCAAATAACTCAAACTATCACCCTAAAGCTCCTCTAAACTAAATGTTTCATTACGTCTTGTAAGGGTCAACTGTAACACTGGTAAATGAGATAATATAGTGCCTGAAGATTTTTTTTTTTTTGTCTTCCTGTCGCTAGTTTGTTTTTCATGTGCTCATCTTATGAGAAACTGATGGAGTTTTTGTATCCCTCTGAGAGTAACAAGAATTTAAAATTAGACAGCGGGGCTGTGGTATGGCAAGCTCAACATTAGAAGTGGCCAATGTCCTATCAACACCCTCGGTTTCAAAGTTTTGCAAAGAAAAAGGCCTGCGGCTTCACACCTTTTCATCTGCAATATATACACACAGACACAAGTACACTGACACACTCGCTCAATCATGCCCATAGGCAGGGATGTTTTGGGTGGGGTTGTGTTATGTGAAAGGATTCACACGTTGATGTTGCGAAAAAAACATCACAAGCTTGCAACAGACCTCAGCATATCAAATATCTGAGTAAACACATTACACTTTACACACATTATTATTCCCTCTCTGGTTTATAAATCCTGAATAAAAAGATTAAAAAAGGTTAGTATAAGCAAAGTTAACAGATGGTCCTCGACTAAATGTTTCAGGATTTTGGAGAAAGAAGTTAGATTAAAAATTGATGTGAAGTTAATTGTATTATTCTTTGTCTGGAGTTGGTTCTTATTCCAAATGACAGACAATATGTATTGATCATGAACAGAAACATAAGACAATTAGACAATAAGACAATATAGTAACAACGAATAAAACATGAAAATTGTAATGTAGCTTAATCATGTCCGACACACAACTCTCTGTAAAATCACAATATGTTTATGTTTTACGCTTAAGATTTTATATGGACTAAACAAACAAAATGTTAATTAGACTTTAGATATATATAGGCAAAGCCAGGCTACATGTTTCCTCCTAATTACAGTCTTTGTACTAAACTAACCTAAATGTCTGCTGGTTGTATCTTGATATTTACCCTACAGGGATCAAAGTCTATCTTAATATCTTACACTCTACAAGAAGCAAGTAAGCATATTTCCCAAAATATCAAACTATTAATAATATAGTTTTACTGGACAGTGGTTTGTTGAACTCTAAGACAAGTTTTTACAATTCTGAAAAGCATTTATTTGACAATATATCCTGCAACAACACAGTGTTCTCATTGAACTGAATGAGCACTAGAGATGTCAAGGTCAGTCTTTTAATCCGTCCACCACTTTGATCCAGACTGAAATATCACCACAACCACTGGATCAACTTTGATGTTCAGCTGATGTTTCCTCTCGGACCGTCATGAAGTTGACAGTTTTGCTTTCCTTTTTTTTTTTTTTTCCTGTGAAATGTCTCAACGACTACTGGATGGATTGTCTCCCTCTGGATGAAACTTTTCATCAAGTGCCATCATGAGCTCAACATTTCACTGTGCGGTTCTACCTCAGCTGTTTGTGTTTTGTGCTAATTAGCAAAAAATTAGCATGCAACTATGCTAAACTTAGATGATGAACATCACCATTAGCATTTAGCCTATAGTCTCTTAGACTCTAAGTCTTGTTTGATACAATGCTATTGTATTTATTTACTAATTAGGCTTGTTCTTTCATATGTAAACTCTCTTTACATACAGTATACCACCACCAATTTTGCCGGTGTAGGCAGCGTTCAGTCTTGGGTACCATGTCATTGTGGTGTTCTCACACCCGCTTACCTTTCTGTAACCTTGCACTGTCAGACTGATACCAATACATGTGTGGGAGTGGGGATGCCCATCGGCTGGATGAACTGAAGAAGGTGTCACCATCATCATCATCATTACCATTACCAATATCATCATCATCATGTTCACTCTCTTCTTTGTATGGTGTTGTAACAGTCGTAGTGCGTTTAGCCACAGAGTGGAAAATGTTTTCATAGACACCACTGTGGGGGTGCTACGTCTGACTAAAAAACTCTTCTCTTCAGTAACTTCTATGATGGAAAAAACTGCAATTAGATTTTAATCTAAATCAGTGATGATTT